TTATTATTATATTATTGTGTCCTTTAATTCCTACAGGAACATAGGGCTTCAGCCGTGCGTCTCCATTGCGTTCTGTTCTCTGCTAGAGTATTCACCTGGCTCCATGTCTGCCCACACGTTTTCGTCTCCTCTTCACATGACGTCATCAAGTCCGCTGTTGTCTCTGGGTCCGTTTTCAATGCTTCTGCTGGGATTCCATCTGGTCCTGCTGCTTTTCCAGCTTTTAGCATCTTGATTGCCTTCAGGACTTCTGATTTCGTCGGGGGGTTGGTGTTTACTGGTAGCTCTGTCTCCGTTGTTGGTATTGCTGGGCGCGTTGTAGGTGGTGGTCGATTTAGGAGTCTTTTGAAGTGTTCAGCCCAGTGTTTCCTTTGCTCCACTTCTTTGGTGAGTGACTTTCCGCTGTCTTCTTTCACCGGCTTGATTTGTGTCGAACGTTTTCCCGATAGGTACCTAGTTGTCTATTGTAGTTCGCATAAATAAACAAAATCGTGGATAAAAGGATTTCCTTCACTGAAATCTTTGTTTTGAAATTATCAGTAGATATCTTAATTTTGCAGGTATTTTGACTAATTTCAGCGTAGGTTTCGTCATGAAACGAAATCAGTGTAGTTTGAGAATCACTGAACATCATGCATCACTGGGCAGGTGTTAAATCCTACCGTGAGATTCTTCTTCAGTGTTCACCAATAACCTCTTCAGAGATGCAGTTTTGGAACCACAGTTTACGAAACAAGCACAATGATTGCTCACCCTACGAGCTGAGATCCAAAGACTTGTAAATTTTTACTTTTGTTAAAGGACTGAGCTAGAACGGAATACTTGTTAAGCCAACTATGGTTCTCATTGGTTCTTTGAGTCATATCTGTTTCTGAAAAGATCTACACTGGAATTATTTAACAAAATTAATTCGTTGTAGCGTATTCGAGACTTAGTCTCTTCTAAATGTTGTCAACATTTTTGGCAAAACATTTTATTCCTTGATTGCTTGAAGGATTTGATCATGAGCTAACATCAGTCAGGGAACCATTGGAAAACCAGCTGGGAGTACTAGATAGCGGTTTCGTCCCAGTTTGCGACACTTAAGCAGCACACACCCACAACCAGGTCTCAAACCCACGACCTTCTGGTGACAAGGCGAGTTAGCCACCGAGACCCGCCAATCCAATGGCCAGTCCATGAATTCTAACATCTGCAAATTCATAACATAGCGTGACCATTTCACAACATCTTCTTCGATGAGTTACTGCCTCACCTTCAACGTGCTGTACCCTACTGGTCATGGCTTCTCAACAGGACGCCATGTAACTACCTGAATAGGCCAGTCGCTAGTGAGCATCAGACTAATTTTTAAGTAATGGTCTTGTATAAATTTTAATTGACTGGTTGGACGAAGGGGGAAGTCCTGTGTTCGAAGCCGGATTTGTGCCTACTGCTTAAGAGTTGCAAACTGAGACAAAACAGCCGGCTCTCCAGTACTCCCTGGCAGGTTTTCCAGTGGTTCTCTAACTGATATCAGCTTATGATGAAATCCTTCAGTCCTGTAATTTGGAAGTAGCCTCAACATTGTGGAGTGCAGTATTGCAAACCACCATGAACTTCTTCAGAAAGCTATATGATTATGTTTTATGCTTAAATATTCACGAAGGAAAGTCTACTGGAGACCTCCAGGTGCCTATAGGAGTAGGAAAAAGTTGACAACAATCAACGATGACATTCGTGACTTTGAGTGACTGGATCACAGAACAGCGCATGGAAAGTGAGAAGATGGGCATATGCCGAACTGATTATAAAGAGGATTTTGATTTCAAGGATGACTTGTGTTTAGTGTCACGAAAACTCGAGAATCTACAGTCGAGGATCAACAAGCTGGCAGAAGAGAAAACGGGGAACAGGACTTAAGGTTAATATGGAGAATACGGAGGTAATTACGATCCCCAGTTGTCAACAATAAGCAACAACTTCCATTAACGGAGGAAATCTAAACGCAGTCACCTTTTTCACTTCCACTTAGATGGACAGTATCATTCTGACTATTAAGTATTTCAAGGTCAGCCAGGATTGAAAAAGCGAGATGCACCTTCGGTAATCTGAAATCATTGTTAACATCAGCTTAACTCAACACAACTAACAAGATCCAAATTTTTGACACTAACACCATTTATTCAGTGCCTGAAATGTATTTCCAGCAGCCTACTGCAGATGTTCATTAACACCTGACTTCTCTGGCTTCACATTAAAAATTAGCAACAAGGATCTGTGGCAAAGAACTAACCAAGAATCTATCACCTAATAAGTATGGAGGAGGAAATGGAGAAGGATTCCACCTATACTGAAGAGACTGCTGCGTGACATCACACGTCACACTCTCTACTACCACCTGAATTGGAAACTAAGAGTTGAGCATGGGTGACACGGAGAAGTTCTTATGACGCATAAATGAAAGCTCATGATCACTCTTAAAATGTTGAGAAGAGAGTGAAAATGGTATGTGCTGCTGAAGCTCTTTTTCTTACTAAGAATATGGGGGAATTAACTTAAGCGCTTTTTCTCTATGAACCCAGTTTAAATCGGTAAGATAACTGTGGATTCCTAGATGCTGCAATCATTCATTAGAATAAATAGCCACTAAACAGCAAGAGTGTAGTAATTAAATCGTGCATATATAAAATATGCGTCATGTATCGGCGATCAATGTATGTGACTAATTCTAACTAACGTCAATGGGTCTACATAGTAATATGACTAGCAATGTACCACACTGACACAATTAAGAGATCTCCAACGCTGAAAAAACTCTTACACCAACCAATAATGTTCACATCTTGTAGTCTAAGCATCCTGTGACACAGAAGTGACAGTTCCCAGGCATTAATTACGCATGTTTATGAATTTTACAGGTCCCAGTCACAATTTCGATTCGCTATTAACAAACTATTCAGCTCTAGGTGACAGTTCATACTGGTCTACTTTGGAAATTAAGAATATTCAGGTCGTAACATATAATGATACAAACAGTAATCAATGTGGTAACATATGGCAGTTAGTCAATAAGGTATACTAACTAGGTCAAGTTCATCAGCTATTTAGACTAAAGATCGCTCCGACCCGTCCAGGAACCACCAATGATATAATTGAACTATTTCCAGTGACCCACTGACCAATAATACATACCATCATGTAATTTTGCTACACTTCTGATTTCTATTTATGCAGTCAAGAAGGTCTGTGTTTTTTTTCGGTTTTCAGAAGAAAGCATGCTGGGTTTCGACCTGCCAGTTGTACAGAGAATAAGCTAATTAGAAGTTAAGTAACGGGAATTTAATAGACCTGACAATTCATAAAGAGGAAGTCAACCAGAACCATTTGTCAACATTTCTGAGCCGTACCAAAAAAACAGGTATCTGTCACTGATTCTTAGCATGACGAAAGATCCTGAACAAGTTGACTTTATCTCAATACATGAATAAAATCAATATTCAAAGGCGACGTGGATTCATGCCATTTTTTTACCAATACTTATCTTTCCGAGGTGCGTCGCTGGTTCTTTATAGTCGAATGTTCACCAGCCACGAATGTGTCCTGAAGTCTCACTGTTTGTGGATGCACTCCTAAACCTTGACTTATCAGCAGTAGCGAGTAGAGGAAACACGGAAGGTTGAACACGAGGAGAGCAACACTACACTATGAAAGGGGAACTAGTAGCATACTAACTTCACACTTTTATTCCTTATTTTCCACTTAATACCTATGGAAGAAGAAAATCTCTTTTCCAACCTAATTCTTTGTCGTCTACCACTGCTTGTTGACCAGTTAAGGCATATTCTACATTAGTTTCACACACAGTGAAACAGTAGTATTTACTGGTTGACGATGTTTCGAACAAAATTTATTGTTCATAATCATATCAATTATAATCAAACGACTTCGAAAATTGAGTTCTATAGTTTTCTTTGTTCTCTTCTATTTGTCGTCGTAGGGGTAATAGAGATTTGCAGATATCCAGGTGGACAGGTGTTGAGTCATTCCTATTTCACGCATTTGCAGTTGACTGGATAAACAGAACTTCCATTATCAATCTCTCCCTCCACCCAGATTTTACACTGGATTCTAAAACTGTCACCTTATCCCATCCTATTGTATGGTTGTGTGTAATTGCATGTATTGAGTGGTATAGCAGAACTATTCTGTAGATTTCTTGCCTTATTTGATTCAACTAATGTAGATTTTGCCGCTAGGTTTTTATGCTCCTTTAATCTTACTGCACCTGTTCTACTACTTTGACCTATATATTTGACCTGACAATCATTCCAGCAGATTATTAGATAAACTAAATTGTTCTGTTTAATTGGCTACACAGAATTGATCCTTTAACTGACAAAGCTTGTCTCTAATTAAATTTGTAGGTTTGAATGCCAGCCTTATTTTATTCCTGCACTGTTAAGAATTCTCCTCAAGGTTTCCGAGGTTCCTTCTTTGTATGGAAGTATTACTGATGATTTAGATTCTTTATTGTTGGTGTTGTCATTATCTTGGGCATGTTTGACATGAACATCGTCATTAATATTACTATTAGTAGTTGTAGTACTATTATTGTTATTTTTATCACTATCACTACTATCATTATTTAATTTAATTTTACATTTCCCTACATACTTTCTGACTAATTTATAATTAATGACGACACTCATGTTTCACATCTCTAATTGAGGACACAGTGAACTGCCTGGGACTGCACGCTTTGTATGATCATAACGTGGGTATTTGGCCAGCCTAAAATATGATGCTAGGTGGCAAAAATGTCAAAAAAGTCTTTTCCTTCAACGACCAATTCGTTAGAATTGATATAACGTCTTAAAACGAAGTTAAGTGGTCAATACTCATAATCACTTCTGTAAATATTGGAGTCGATGCGAAACAAACCCAAAGTATCACCTTATATTTGCCCCCAGTTCGCCCCTGCATCATTACTGTCGGTGTATGCAGAAAAAAAGAACACATTACTTATAAATTAACTCTGTGTTCTTTCAATAAAAAGAATAAACACATACATATACATGTATAGATGTCTTTAGCCTCCTTTACATAAATAATAACAATCGAAGGTAAAGACTCATTTGAAGATAAGAAATGAAGTAATACAACTGAAATCTATATCAGAATAAAATTCCCTCAGTTTATGCTGAAGATACATTTCCGTTTACAACTTTTGAGATTGTCTTTCTGTCTCATTGTGTTTCTCTCTCCACAAACCCACTCTCACTTTCTCTTTTTTTATAAAATATGATGTAATATAGATGTGTAAAAGTAACAATTTAATAGAATGAATACTACAAATGTGTCTTTGTTCACTTGTAAACGTGTACAATAATTCATTGAACGTATTAAACGTTCAACAAAAGATAGTTTTGCATCACTTTTTACCTTTAAGTGATTTGTTTCACTCAGTATATTCGGTCGAATGAATTTACGATTGAATGTAGATGATGATGATGATGATGATGACGATGATGAGTGTAGAGGTGATGAAAAGGACATGGAGGACGAGGAGGAGGAGGATAGTGTTGGCACTAAAAGAATTAATGAAGACAAGTCAATTAATTCAATTATTAATTGGTAAATATGATATGAAAAACGTGTATCACCTACTAATAACTTACTAATTGATGAAATTGCTTGAAGATGTATCTGAAAGTCATGGACAGTGGAGTCAACCAGCTTGGTTGTGAGGAAAAATGTTCACCTGCGATGCAGATTGTTATTCAAGCTATCTTTGATTGGACACTAGTTAGTAACTAGTGTAATGTGTTTAGTCCTTTCTTTCGTGCAGACTGAATTCTATCAGTCAGTCAAGTTTGCAATGTGGCCACTATGCCACTAGGTGGCTCCCCGTACCAACCACAAGAAGCTGCAGCTGAAGTAGGTTTGGTGCTAGTTGGCACTCATCAGTCAGTCATCAAGGCGTATCTTCAACCTTGAAGGAACAACTCACTTTCCTTCCGAGATTCTAAAACGCGTCACCCAATGAGTACTGAATTCAGAGACGTTGCCACTAAGCTATTTGAACCCGCGATTGACCTCCTGTAGGCCTGTATTGAATACTTTGATTAGACACTAGTAACCAGTGTGATGTGTCTAGTACTTTGTTTGGTACAGTTCCTTCATGGTTGCAGATACGCCTTGCTGACGATTGTCAATTAGTACGAGACCTAGGTGAGGTAGGGATTTCTGCCTCTTCCACACCTCTGGTATTTGCATTGAGTCATTTCTCTTGCATGAGTTGGGTGTAGACTCGATGAACTAGGATTCATTAATCAACGTCTCTCTACCTGTCAATATTACTTTCAGGATTTTTGACTCTATCCCCCAACACGTTTGTGCGGTGGTGTGTTAAAGCATGCGGTGCTATTGTTGAGTTCTTTTCTAAACTACCTATCTTCTCGGGGTCAACCATTGTTACCTTAGGTAAATTCTCATGTTCCAACAATCTGACTACCCCGATCTACTAGTTTGACCTATGTATTTCACCTAAGTGACAGTCATTGGAAAGTATTTTGTAAATCATATTGTTTTGTTTAAACGGTTCAATCGGCTCTTTTAGCTTATTGTGCTTGTGTTATCTGAGTGAATTTGTAGGTTTGAATGCCATCCTAATTCCTGCTTGATTGAGAATCCTAAGTAGGGTCTCAGACGTCCTCTCCTTATATGGCAATATTTTCCATATTTTTGGTAAGAGTGATGATGCATTCCTATCGCACGTGTTGGGTGTAGATTCTGTGAATAAATATTCATTAATCAATCTCTCTCTATCTACACCTTTTTATATTACTTTTTAGTATTTTAACCCTCTCCTACTCTATTGTTTGGTTGTGCGTTAATGCATGTAGTGAGATTGATGAGCTGTTTCCTACATTACTTATCTTCGCTGGGTCAATCATTCTAACTTTAGCTCGAATCTTATGTTCTGACAATCTGACCAACCTCGATCTACAAGTTTGACCTATGTTTTTGACCTCTAATTGAAAAGTATTTTATGGTACTTGCTACCGGCTAGGCGAGATTTAGGAGTGAGTTGGCTGGGGAGTGGACCCATGACCACGTGCGTGGTTCGCAAGCACTCTACTACTGCACCACCGACACAAATAATCACACAGCAAAATGGAACTGCTCTGCTGTCTACAATATTACATTATAACTTAATGGATAATATCCGTGATATGAATCGTCTTTCACTTAGCCCTCAGTGTTGGGGCTTACACATAGATTTTCAAGAATTAGTTTGTTGGGATTCTGTTTGTTTCTGGTTAAACCACAGAGTGGTATTACTCAGAGGACGAATGAAAACTAGGAAGTACTGGACAGCAGTTTCATCCTAGTTTGGGAATCGCCAGAAGTACGCACCCAATGAGGGTTGAACCAAGGACCTTCCGGTTACAAGTCAAGCTCGTAAATCATTCAACCACCAAGACCCGATTGAATAGCAAGCCCATGAATTCTAACTTCTACCAATTCATAATTTTATTGTGACTACCAACCAATGTCATCCTTAAAAGGACAAACATTTCCCCCAATGCTCAGTTTAAAATGAAACGTAATGTCTCGTAACAGCATATTCACACTGATTTAAGAAAATCATTGCAATTATTCGCTTCAAAGTAATCATATCTCAAATAAAGTGTGAATATCTTTTTGACATGCTAAATTTCATGCAGTGCATACGAAACTTCATTGCATTCACATTCATCACACATTTCGAAATCATTCTATCTTGTTTACAAATAATGACAAACAAACACAAAAAATGATTAATATCTCAAAAGAATTGACTTTCTGAATTATTTCTTGTATCATTTAAGTGGGTCAGAAATTTCGGAGCGATTTAAGCGTTGTGACTCAAGTAGTTCAGGAGAAATACTTATGCCTCGAACTATAATTCGAAAACTCCTCAGTTCGTAGTTCAAATCACATCGTCCCTCAACAAAGTCACTATACCAAAGGTTGATAGTTTTAAATACTCATAATTTAGTAGAATGTAGAACGAAAACGCTAAATGATAGCTACTAATTTTGCAGGTATGATAAGAGCTGAGTGGAATGATACCTAAATAAACCGTTCAATTTTGAAAGACCGTACTCTATCACGAAGTCAATTGACGAAGGAAGTAGTATACATATCTGTGGAAGATCAAACATAATTCAAGACTGGAAGATATGAATCGAACTTGGGCTGAAATGGTTGAAACTGAGCTATTTGGTAACAGGTTGTAAGCCACACTTTCTATATGAGGACTTGTGATAATACTGAGTTGTCGAGACTGGAGTAGGTGGAAAATGATTCAAACCTGGGATTCACTTGCCGATTAATAAAAACGCTTACTTCAGGGAACCAAATCTGCACTAATTTGTTTTCGACGCACAGCGGCAATCTAGAAAATTATGAATTTAGTCTACATTTTAGGTTTGTATTAATCACCAGTCTAATTGTGCTAAGGATTTATTTGTAAATGTCCATTACTGAATTCTGTTGGATAGATATTTAAATTTAACAGATAGAAAAAAGTCACATATCCTTTTGATTGATGATGATTAGCAATGAAGTCCCATTCAAGATGAGGCAGATGTGTTTTCTCGCATTCCTGGTAAATATTGGTGTTCCCCCTGAGAGGTGAACCCTGCACCCATCGTTTCACATTTCAAACCATAATACATTATGCAACTGGGAATTGAGGGGAACTTTTCGCATTACCCGTGGTCAAGTGAATAATGCTTCACAGTTTAAAACAATGCTTGTGGAGTTCAAGTTATAGTGGGGATACAATAAACTCCCTGAGGTGCAGATACATCCGGATGAAAGGTTCTGGATAGGATAAAGTGTCCATTCTAGATTCGATTGCCAGTGACAGTCAACTGAAAATAACATAATCTTAGTCATAACAGAGGCGAGGCAATTCCGTCCCATATCTTTAATCGGCGTGAAATGCAAATTAGCCAAAAATCAAAACTTTCGTGTTAAGCAAGTCTAAAATTTTATCTCTTCACTTATTCATTGGCTTGTGCGCAAACATGCAATGGGCTTATTGGTGAGCAACACTTCTTCAATTGCTTACTGATTTCTGGAGGTTACTTTAATGTCAGTCACCAGAAAAAGTAAAAGTTAGATCAGTCTTGAACCCAAATAACACATCAGTGACATAGATTTCAATCTCCATGGAGGGGAGGCATCATTTTCCTCCACCTTTTCTGATGAGTGCTAATGATCAGTCAAAATGAAAACAATTGACTTTTTGGCAAACAGTACTACTTCGAATATTATTGTAGGTTACTTCATCATTCTTTATCAGGAAAAGCAAAAAGGTGCTATTATTTAATGTGTGATAATTAAAGGTAAAGTGCACACGTTCAAGCTGACAAGCAAGCGGATAGCAAGCAATAAGTCACCATTTTACTCAGACTTCTTTTACCAGGCATATTAATCATGCTGTTGAACTTTTAGTCTTCAACTTACCATCAGTTGATGTACTGACTGTTTTCGAGTGTACAGAGTCTGTTGTATCAGGGAGATCTATAAGATGTGACAAACGTTTACACTTTAGAAGGTATTGTAGATTTTTTTGCAAAAAAGTGCTGTAACGTTTTATATAATCCTTACATTCCAAGTGGAAAAGATGGCTTTAATCTTTGGAGTTTCAGTAAAAGTGGTCTTGATTCTCTGGGGTGGAACTGTTAGCCCCACACGCGAGCTTCCCCTGTTATCGCAATTAATATGAGCTAATAAACAGAACAAGGTTTAGGAGTGCATCGATTGGACATTAATCAGTAACTAGTGTTCTGTATCCACTGTACTGTATCAACAATGCAGAATGAATTCTATCAGTCAGTCAAGTTTTCAATGTGGCCACCATGCAACTAGGTGGCTCACCATCACGGTATACTGTGAATTGAATTGTTGGTATTAGATATTGGAGGCAGTCGGATACAGGAAGCCCTACCTCACCTAGGTTTCGTGCTGGCTGGCAGTCACCAGTCATTCAGCAAGGAGTATCAGCAACCTTGAAGGAACTCATTTCCTTTGCCGACGAGTGCCAGCTAGCACGAAACCTAGTTGAGGTAAGCCTTCCTGTGGCCGGTCGCCTCCAATCACCTAATATTGACAATTAGGATACGTTATTACATCATATGATGTAATTCTATGGGAACATTATTGTAATCCTTCTTGATGGCCATTCTTGTTACCGGGAATATCAAATTGATATGTAACTTTTTAACTTCTATGTAGCTTCACTATTTGTAAAGTTACTCAAAACACAATTTGAAGTATAATGCTATTTTTGTCCATGTACAGTTGAGGATTATTGAGGTTGCTAGAATCATAGTACAAAGACAGCAGTCATTGGATTTCAACCCGTGAAGATCCTGGGTTTGACATTTAGTAGGACGACTGATGCACTGTCCAGTGATGCAACTGATGTTGGTTCCTGACAACTCTCTTGACGTACTTCTGACCACTATTTTCACTGCATGCACTACATTAAAGAATCGGTACTTATAAAAGTTTACCAACCAGAATATGACAATTGTTATCATATGTATATATACATACGCTGGTCAGTTAAGGCATATTTGTGAATCCATAAATTAGTGTTTTGTAAGCGCGACAAACACTTCACCGCAACTTGCATCCATGGATATACAAAGAGCTATCTAAGTAATTATTGTTTGATGAAGGCTTTTTGTGTTCTCAAATGACAGGAAGAAATTGCACTGCTACTTGGATCCTGGCAAATAACAATATCGCATACTCTACTTTTCATCAAGCAGTGAGAAAAAAGAGTTTAGTATGAGACAAGAAACTGCTACTCTTATCTGGTTACAACTAATAAACAAAGCGTCCACAGTTGAGTGGTGGAATAATCGTCAACCAACCACGTGCTCCGGACCTGGCTCCCAGCTGACGCACTCTGAAACGTCATTAGGCCGGCAGTAAGCCCAGAAAAAACATCTTTGGGCATAAGGCTTGCAACCCTACCATTCAAGGAGATAACATAATCGCATCAACCGTAAATTCACAACCTAAAGCCAACACTCAGGAAGCTGACGAATGAAAACAAAAACAATCAATAAAGTACAACAGAATTAAGTAATCGACTTACCAATTATTTCTATATAAATCTTATCATAAACAAAGTCAAGCCTTGATGGACTGTATGTTGCAGACTTATTAAGGTAGGCAGGTGACTGTGAATTCAACTCCATATATTCCAGTTTATGGTAATTCGGTGACATTTTTGTTAAATTCACATTTTTAATAGGATTTGATCTTTCTAAACATATCCACTGGCCTGCTTCAGCTTCACTTGCCCAGGCTATGAATAATCGACTTTCTAGCAGATGAGAATCCAGCCACCGTAGGGTAATATATACACCACCAGATTTGTATGGATTTGATAGACGTCGAATTCCACGGTGATACCATTCCAGGGATATGGTTGGATCAAGTTTAGCTTCTGAAGATGGGAAACTAGCACGACATATCAATTCAAGTGGGGTACCGTAAAATACAAGATTTGGACCGGTCACTGTTATCGCTGATAGGAAGAAGAAGAAAAATAAAAGAAGAACCTATAAATTTGCAATTGTAATTCGTCTCATGTCACTGATTTAAACAATACCTGGCAAATTGTAACCATATATATCTGTATTCATTCCTTAGCATTCTGAATGGAACGTACAGTTTGAAGTTATAAAGATGCAAAAGAATTTGGGTGTTGTTTCTACGGGTTGAAGGTGATAGCCTTACGACCTAACTTCCCTATTACTCAGGCTTACTGTAAGCCTGTTTATTAATGCGTTACTCAAGAACTGAATCTCGATTCACGGAAAATACCTATCCAGACACGAATGTGCGTCGGTGGCATAGCGGTTAGGATGCTCGCCGATAATGCATATGGTCAGGGGTTCGATCCTCGGCCAACTCACTCCTTTACCTCACTAAGCCAGAAATAATGCTGGTAAAGAGGAAAGGTTGGGCATGAGGCTAGCAATCCCATCCTGTAAAATGAACACTGCTACAGAAACTTCAAGCCACTAGCTTGAAGCCCTATGTTCCACTGCGGAACGTGAAGGGAAAAAAAAGACAAATTTATTTTTTTGTGTTTATAGCTTGATGCCACACTGTCTTTTCAGTACAAGTATGGAATTTTCAGCATGGATATCGGTAGCCCAAATTTTGCAGGCCGACCATAGATATCGGGTGTGCGTCGGCAGGGGATCGAACCTCGGACCATGTTCATGTTCGGCGAGAGTCCTAACCACTGTGCCACGAATGTAAGAACGAAAAAGTTCAGTGAAGAGTCTTTTTTCAGCGAATTCACTCACCTAGCTGTACAATCGCATTTATATATAATATTGTGTGTG